CTTATAGTAACAGCCCGGTCAGATCATCAACCCAGAACCAAGTCATATCATTGGGGGATATATTCTGGATCTGTGGTGATCAGAAGATTAGGACCCGACTGATAGGGAAAATGGAGAGGGGAATGTACCCTTGCCAATGCCATAATGCCATTGCACATCCTCTCAGATCCATTACTTAAGGGGCCGCCCAACCCCCCCCCCCCATGCAACCAAGCACAAACGAAGTGCCCCACAAGGGAGTTTTGACCCCCATGTCTATATAGATGCGATAGGAGTCCCAAGGGGGGTACCCGATGAATTCAAGGCCAGAGACCAGGTGGCCGCAGGATTTGAATCCCTATTCCTCTTCATCACTGAGAACAAGAATGTAGATTGGATAAACTACATCTACTATAATCAACAACGGTTTGTAAATTATACACGAGATGCCTTAAAGGGGATAGCAGAGCAGTTGGAGGCTACTTCAAACATAGTTTTTTAAAATCGCATGACACCCGATATGTTATTAGCTGAAAAAGTGGGGGGGTCTGTAAAATGATACCAAAGACCATGACCTGCTGTACGTATATCCCAGATAACACAGGCCCAAATGGGAAGGTGACACTGGCCATCAAGAGGTTGGAGGACCTATCAAATAAACTTAAGGAAAACTCAGGCCCCTGATCATCATATTTCAGACTTATAAAAAAAAAAAAAAAAAGGAATGCTACAATTCCCTCCCTCCCTTAACAGACAACTATAAGCAGGGAAAGACAGTGTCTGACTGTGGCCTTCTCAGGACGTATCGAGACTCTAGGGATGGATTAGCCACTCAGGGGCTCTATATGCGTCTTAAAAGAGTTCCAAGGGGAGGGCCACCAGGCAGTTAGGAAATCAGAAGACATAGGGACAGTCAGGAATAAAATAGCCATTTTAAGGGGGGATTGTAGTGGATTGTGATAGACAGTCCACATTTTATTAGATGATCAGTAAAATGACAATTTTATAGTCTTACTACTGTCTGTTTCTTGCTCTTTAAATTCCTTACTCTCTTAAGTAAACAATCAGATATAGGTTGACAGAACAATGATGATAATTAAGATGGCGCCTTCATCCGGAGTCCTCACCCTTGGTGACTCATTAGGAGAAAAGTATCTTTTAATGTAAACAAACACCCCATAATCATGAGTCCTTTTGGGGACAATGATTGGAAGATATCAACACGGATGGAAGAACACGCAGAAACCCAGTGGACTTTTCACCCAATCAATGTACTGTATATGCTTTGCCTGCATCATAAGCCCTATAAATGATACTGTTAGTTCCTCAATAAAACAGAATTTTTGGAAGTTGGCAAACTGCGAAGTGTCAGTGTCTTACTTCCACATGCACGTATTCTCATATTAATTTGGCTCACTGGTAGATCACGGTAAATGGTCTGTAAGTGACCTAGTCCAAAACAGAGGTATTTCATACAATGGATTATATGTGGATGAGCAGCACAGTAATTTAGTGGTTAGCACATCTGCCTGGCAGTACTAGTCTCATCGGATTGAATCCCAACCACGGCACTACTTGTATGGAGTTTGCATGTCCATGCTTTGCCTGGATGGGTTTCCTCCCATGCTCCAAAGATATGCTGGGTAGGTCATTTGGCTCCTGTCTAAACTGGTCCTAGTATGTGCATATCTGAATATGAGTTCGAGACCTTAGATTGTAACCTCCTTGAGGGCAGGGACTGATGTGAATGTACAATATACTGGGGTTAGACAACAAAATAAAAACATTACATGATTTGCAGGTGTGAAAGTGACCACATGTTTCGCTTTGGAAATAATATAACATTATTTTGCTTCCACTGTGTGATGAGACACCTAGATAACAGGTGGGAAGTCTCACTTTCGTCATTCACTGTGTACGCTGCTAGTAATAATACGAAGTCATGTCAGAGCTTACTGAGTCTCAAAGAGGGCATGTTGTTGGTGTCCGCTTAGCTGGTGCCTCTGTGACTGACATTGCAAATATAAAACAGTATCCCGTGAAAACTGAGAATGAGCTTTGCAGTCACTAGTTTTATTCTTATTCTGGGTCACAATCCTGCGCAATGTCTTTTTATCTCTTTTGGACAGTTGATCATGTGGGCTGCGCTTATGCTTATCAGATGATATTTTCCCGGAAACTGTATATGCCGTTATAACCTTTAACACTGTACCTAGCAACACGGCAAATAAAATTGCCAACTTTAGTCACAGAGGCACCAGCTAAGCGGACACCAACACTTTGCCCTCTCAGTAAGCTGTGTCATGACTCCGTACTACTAGCAGTTCACATAGTGCAGTGGTTCTCAACCTTTCTAATGCCGCGACCCCTTAATACAGTTCCTCATGTTGTGGTGACCCCAACCATAAAATTATTTTCATTGCTACTTCATAACTGTAATTTTGCAGTGGGAGGAGTAGTGCCATGTCATTGGTGTCAGTGGAAGGAGTAGTGCCCCATCACTGATGTCAGTGGGATGAATAGTGCCCCATCGTTGGTATCAGTGGGAGGAATAGTGCCCCGTCACTGATGTCAGTGGGATGAATAGTGCCCCATCTTTGGTGTCAGTGGGAGGAGTAGTGCCCCATCGTTGGTGTCAGTGGGAGGAGTAGTGCCCCATCGTTGGTGTCAGTGGGAGGAGTAGTGCCCCATCGTTGGTGTCAGTGGGAGGAGTAGTGCCCCATCGTTGGTGTCAGTGGGAGGAGTAGTGCCCCATCGTTGGTGTCAGTGGGAAGAGTAGTGCCCCATCGTTGGTGTCAGTGGGAGGAGTAGTGCCCCATCGTTGGTGTCAGTGGGAGGAGTAGTGCCCCATCGTTGGTGTCAGTGGGAGGAGTAGTGCCCCATCGTTGGTGTCAGTGGGAGGAGTAGTGCCCCATCGTTGGTGTCAGTGGGAGGAGTAGTGCCCCATCGTTGGTGTCAGTGGGAGGAGTAGTGCCCCATCGTTGGTGTCAGTGGGAGGAGTAGTGCCCCATCGTTGGTGTCAGTGGGAGGAGTAGTGCCCCATCGTTGGTGTCAGTGGGAGGAGCAGTGCCCCATCGTTGGTGTCAGTGGGAGGAGCAGTGCCCCATCGTTGGTGTCAGTGGGGGAGGAGCAGTGCCCCATCGTTGGTGTCAGTGGGAGGAGTAGTGCCCCATCGTTGGTGTCAGTGGGAGGAGTAGTGCCCCATCGTTGGTGTCAGTGGGAGGAGTAGTGCCCCATCGTTGGTGTCAGTGGGGGGAGTAGTGCCCCATCACTGGTGTCAGTGGGAGGAGTAGTGCTCCATCACTGGTGTCAGTGGGGGGAGTAGTGCCCCATCACTGGTGTCAGTGGGGGGAGTAGTGCCCCATCATTGGTGTCAGTGGGGGGAGTAGTGCCCCATCATTGGTGTCAGTGGGGGGAGTAGTGCCCCATCATTGGTGTCAGTGGGGGGAGTAGTGCCCCATCACTGGTGTCAGTGGGGGGAGTAGTGCCCCATCACTGGTGTCAGTGGGGGGAGTAGTGCCCCATCACTGGTGTCAGTGGGGGGAGTAGTGCCCCATCACTGGTGTCAGTGGGGGGAGTAGTGCCCCATCACTGGTGTCAGTGGGAGGAATAGTGCCACATCATTGGTGTCAGTGGGAGGAATAGTGCCCCATCATTGGTGTCAGTGTGGTGGAGGGGAGAATAGTGCCCCATCATTGGGGTCAGGGGGGGGGGGGGGGGGGTAAATAGTGTCCCATCGTTGGTGTCAGTGGGGGGAGGAATAGTGCCCCATCATTGGTGTCAGTGGGAGGAAATAGTGCCCCATCATTGATGTCAGTGTGGTGGAGGGGAGAATAGTGCCCCATCGTTGGGGTCAGGGGGGGGGGGAAGGTAAATAGTGCCCCATCGTTGGTGTCAGTGGGGGAAGAATAGTGCCCCATCGTTGGTGTCAGTGGGGGGAGGAATACTGCCCCATCGTTGGTGTCAGTGGGGGGAGGAATACTGCCCCATCGTTGGTGTCAGTGGGGGGAGGAATACTGCCCCATCGTTGGTGTCAGTGGGGGGAGGAATACTGCCCCATCGTTGGTGTCAGTGGGGGGAGGAATACTGCCCCATCGTTGGTGTCAGTGGGGGGAGGAATACTGCCCCATCGTTGGTGTCAGTGGGGGGAGGAATACTGCCCCATCGTTGGTGTCAGTGGGGGGAGGAATACTGCCCCATCGTTGGTGTCAGTGGGGGGAGGAATACTGCCCCATCGTTGGTGTCAGTGGGGGGAGGAATACTGCCCCATCGTTGGTGTCAGTGGGGGGAGGAATACTGCCCCATCGTTGGTGTCAGTGGGGGGAGGAATAGTGCCCCATCGTTGGTGTCAGTGGGGGGAGGAATACTGCCCCATCGTTGGTGTCAGTGGGGGGAGGAATAGTGCCCCATCGTTGGTGTCAGTGGGGGGAGGAATAGTGCCCCATCGTTGGTGTCAGTGGGGGAGAGTAGTGCCCCATCGTTGGTGTCAGTGGGGGGAGTAGTGCCCCATCACTGGTGTCAGTGGGGGGAGTAGTGCCCCATCACTGGTGTCAGTGGGGGGAGGAATAGTGCCACATCGTTGGTGTCAGTGGGGGGGGGAGGAATAGTGCCACATCGTTGGTGTCAGTGGGGGGGAGGAATAGTGCCACATCGTTGGTGTCAGTGGGGGGAGGAATAGTGCCACATCGTTGGTGTCAGTGGGGGGAGGAATAGTGCCCCATCGTTGGTGTCAGTGGGGGGAGGAATAGTGCCCCATCGTTGGTGTCAGTGGGGGGAGGAATAGTGCCCCATCGTTGGTGTCAGTGGGGGGAGGAGTAGTGCCCCATCGTTGGTGTCGGTGGGGGGAGGAATAGTGCCCCATCGTTGGTATTAGTGACACAAATGATGGGGCACTATTCCTCCCACTGACACCAATGATACTTACCTTGCTGATCCCTGCTCCAGCCTGGGCTCGCTCTCTCACTTACCTGTCAGCTGTCTTCCTTCTCTGGCCGCTCTCCTCTTCACTCGCTCCCTCGGTCTTCTTGATGTCCGCGCGCTGCCGCTTGGCTCCTCCTCTCCAAGCTCCACCTCCTCGCCGGTGATTGGCCGCCTGTGTGCCTCTCCTGAGCTACAGTTCCGGTGGCCAATCAGCGGCGAGGAGGGCGGAGCTGCTGAGCGATCTTGGAGGTGTGGCCGGGTGACAGCAGCGTATCATCCCGCCCACACATCGCCGGAGACTGCAGCGGTGTCTCGGTTCCTAAGACCATCGGAAATATGTGTTTTCCGATGGTCTTAGGCGACCCCTGGGAAATGGTCGTTCGACCCCCAAAGGGGTCGCGACCCCCAGGTTGAGAACCGCTGACATAGTGAATGACGAAAGTGAGGCTTCCCACGTGTTAGCTAGGTGTTTCAGCACGTACGAACGTAAAAGCACTCATTGGGGCGCCTACATGTGAAAACATTGTTTGCGATACACATGCATGTGCATGCCAGAGTAAGAACAATAATTACAGCACCAGACTTCCTTTATAACACTAAACTGATGACCTATAGGGGCTTTTGAAGTGTCTTCTATAGAAAATGTCAGGTACTGACATTTTTCACCATTTCATAGGCACACACAAATTTAGGTTTGGCATGTTGGGTATCTATTTACTCAGCTCAACCTCCTCTTTTATATTTTGCCCATAATTTGGGTAATATATTATGTTTTCCCTAAAATTTCACTGTAGTGTTATATTTACTGAAATTTTGCGCTTCTCAGACCTTTGCAATAATATTGTGTGACATAAAAAATTGGAACTGCCACTATTTTATTCTCTAGGGTGTCTGCTTTCAGAAAATACATAATGTTTGGGGGTTTTGTGCAATCTTCAGGCCTAAAATGCCTTTTTTAAACATGCATGAAAAAACTGCAAAAACAGATCTGGCAGTAAAAAGGGTTAAAAAGGTATGTCAGAAATGACAGCACGCATACACCTCAGTAAAGTTTCTTTAAAGCCCAACTCCAAGCCTGAGATTTCCAACCCTCCTCATTTGCTTTTCACCCCTTTGTAATTTTATATCCTTAAACAAATATATATCCCTACCCTTTTTTCAGGTGTTTTCTATCTGGCCCATTGACATCACTGATCCTTTTTATCCTCTTCTTCCTCCGGTAGTAGGTGTATCTGAAATGCTGCTGCAGATCAGGTTCATCTATTGATGATGCATCAATCTCTGTAGCATTTTCTTGTGAGTCCAGGTTGAGGATGGAGTCTTCACACCCTGGTCTAACAGAAAGTGAGTTGAATGACATTATTCAGTCGGTAGGAGGAGTGGTGCTGGATGAATTACAGGCTGAGTCTTTGGGGGACAGTGCCAGAGATATTGCAGACAGAACTATTTTTTTTTTAGCTTTCCTCATGCCAAGGGACTGATTATTTCTTTATCCCTGATTCACACTAAATGGGGCTCTGAAATCGCGCTACTTCAGCCGCAGTATTGTGATTTCAAAGCTGCCAGTCAGTGCGGTTTCATGTGCACCTTGCCGACATCTGTTCGACTTCATGTACAGATGTCAATGCAAGTCGCACATGAAATCGACAAAAATAGTGCAGAAACCTTTTTCAAAATCGATGCAAGTTGGAGTCGCACTGATTTGAACAATTCCATAGGCACAAATAGGGTGCGACTTGTCATGCGATTTTGAATTGTCAAATTGCTTGACAAATCGCATTGGTGTAAATGGGTTCTTAATGTTATTGAGCAGCTTTTTTTTATTAGAAATAAACCAAGGTCATGTTCTTGCAGTCTATTAATGTTATTTTCAGAGCAGTAACATTAATACTAACTTAGTACTAGTCTAGTTATTTTTTTACACCCTTCCTTGTTTTTAATCTGTGCAGGTACCTGTTGATGGATTTTTGACGTCTGCAGTGGTTGCAGCAATTTCTAGTGGTTTCTTGAAGGAAGCTGTGGGATGTTACTGCATTCTGCTAAGAAATATTTGAAGCTGCAGGTTACATCTTCTGGGGGCGATACAGCATTAGTTATGTGTAATGGTTTGTATCCTAATACCTGCATGCAGCTTCTTCTGTACTGACTTTCCTCTAGCACTGTGAGGGTCAGCAGCTTTTGAGAAAAGTTACACTGCTGACCCCCTCCCCTTTCCCCGTCTGCCCTCCCTGGCATTCACAGAACTCATACCAATATTGTTCCACAGTGCATACGTTTCTGTGAATGAGCAAGGGGGTCTTGTCATCCAACTGCTCCTACTCCATTGGCAGAATGCAAAGCATTATAGGACAATAATTGTATTTCTATTGAGTTCTGTGATTGGCAGAGTGCAGAAGGGGGCGGGCGAGTAGCACAACTTTCTCCGTAGCAGCGGCTGCTGTTAACCTTCACAGTGCCAGAAGATAACTGTTCAAGGCTGTATCCAGTGGCTCTAAAGGAGGCACAATAGGGAAGTGCAACACACTCTAACTTTGGTAAGATTTCTTTGTTTAGTTAGAGGCTTGCTTGAAACCTAGGTAAGAGTCAGCCTGGGAGCAAGTCAGTGAGGCAACTTCAGATTAGACTGGGAGGCTCTACATGTCAGGGCTTCTGGAGCCCTCCCACCCTTCTAGAAGCAACTGGCACTTTTTAGAAGAGGGGCAGAGGAGGGGAGGAGGCTTGGATTTGTATGTTTGAGGGAATCTGTCTAATCCCCAGGCAGGAGGCCTAGCATGGTGGCTAGGATAATCCTTAACTATGGGAGAGCCTGATCAGCAGGGGGAGTAGGAGTCAGGTGGAGGATGGAATGAGGAAGGTGCTGCTGGTGTAGAGCCTGGGAGTGGGGAGGGGCACCAGAGGAGGGGGTCTGCCTACAGGCTGAAGCTGGACAAAAGGACCTCCACTGTCCCACAGTCTAAAAAAGAAGGGGAAACAACCTGTGCTACACCCCAGGCAATACAATGTGTGAAAAAAATATATATTCTGAAACAATAGTGAAACAATTAGTGAACTGCTGCTACTCTTTCCCTGAACACCAGAGAATACAAACATATAAAAAATGAGTGCGCTATACACTAAATAATCAAACAATAATCAATTAAATAAATGCTGCTACATGAAAAATGGGCATAAATTAATTGAAATTATATAAGTCCACAGTCATATATTAAATAATTAAAAGTCCCAAAATCCAATAACACAGTGCTGTGTGCTAAAAATATCCTCCAACGGAAAGTGCATAGGTGTCCCCAAATGCTTGACACAAAAGAAAAAAATCAGCCTCTTACCAGACACTTTGATCTCCAATCAAGAGATCAAATGAGCAGATGGTGTTCAGATCCCACACTAACACCCTAGTTAGCCATATCAAAGAGATGAATAGAAGATGAATGGACAACTGCAGGTTCACTTAAACGAATCCATCACATCAGACAGCTCTCCACATCATGCAAGGAAAGGTTTAAAACAGAAGAAAAAACTTCATAGTGCAACCCGATAAACCAGCAAAGAATTTATTAAAGTATTGCACTTACATAGATAAGGTGCATAAAGGCAGTGTAAACATTTAAAATTCCAGCAGTGTAAGACCACCGGCCAGAATGAGGTGACATCACAGAAAGCTCCGCCCGACACGCGTTTCTCCAAAAATGGTGTCCTCTGGGATTGGAGAACATTTATATGTCCCACAGTCTGCCAAGGAAAAACAGCCTGTCAGCATTGAAGGAGCCAGCCTAGCGAAAGGCCTGAAAGCAGCTGCAACCCATTAAATGTCAGGAACAGGACAGTGTGATAACTTCTACACCGAATAAAAAGAAACAGCAGTGAGCGCTAATCCTGAAAGCGGCTAGGCACTCTAAGCAACCAATACACTTAAAAGCAATAACATAAAAATAGTTGCAGCGCTGAAAATAATGACAAAATGACAAAAAGGTAGTCCACTAAAAGTCTATGACATATAAACGTATCCAGTGTCTGATGTGGATTCAGAATAGGTGATCCGTGTGGAAATGGCTGGAAAACGCACTCACCAGAAGTAAGACACATAAACGCAGTGTGTATATAAAACTCAAGGATCTTCAATCCAGAGGGAAGTAAAGCTGATCAGGTTACAGGAATGGTGAATCCCTCCTCCGCAGATGCAGCAACCGATCTTCCTTAACACGATTAGATGTAGAATTCCAAGACCAAGGTTCTGCAAGTAAAAGCTCCTCAAGGGAGTTTTAGGGAAGGACACCCATAGTGAAGTAGGTAATAAAAGGCAGCTTTATTCACAATAATGATATCCAATTCAAAGCAGGCAGGTATCATACAGATGTGTCAGCAAGACAACTAACCCTGATACTTTGAATAGTGGCCGCCGGGCCTCCACGTGGCACCGGCGGCGTAGCGTCTCGACGTCCAGGCTCCTCCTTACGCGTTACGTGCGCACGCACATCTTCAGAGGTATGGAACCATTGACGTGTGGACGCGAATGGGCGCATATATATAGGCATAATGACGCATGCGCAGTAGCGTGTACGCAATGCGCAAAACCCAAGGCGCATGCGCGTGGCTCCGTCTTCCATTGTAATGGAGCTCGGAGACGCAGGGTGGAAGGGCGAAATGCCCTATTGTTGACAGATAAATGTCAAACAGAAGTCAAGTCCAACAACGGTGTAAAATACACCTAATAAAACAATCCGATAGGATCTATGTAAAATATGCAAAGAGGCGCGATAGCGCCAATATGTTGAACTATTCCCAATTAGATAATATCTAGGTAAATGTATACATGCGTCATTATAACTTAAAATTAATCAACGTTCAGTAAAGACATCATATACATAAAAATAAAG